TCCTTCCCTAGGTATTTACCTCATTGATGTGATATGTACTGTGAGATCTTACTAGTATTTATTGCTGCTTTTACTAATATGTACTGTCAGTTGTAGATCTGTATTTGATGCTCTGTTGATGCTTGTATGTTGTTCCTCAAATGTAAGTCGCTTTGCATAAAAGCGTCTGCCAAATGAGTAAATGTAAATGTAAATGTACTGTAACTATACTTTGACACTGTAGAATTAGGGTACTACTTTTACCAAAGTAAAAGTACTTTTTCCACAACTGGCTCCCCAGTTTGATGACTGTGACACAAAAGCAATCTCGATATCAAATCAAAATAAAAAAGTAAAATAAGCAAAACAACAACAAACACCACCACCACAACAACAACAATAACAACAACAACATCCAGTGACTTGTAATCTAAGCACAGTTTTGTCAACTCACCATTCTCGCGATTTGGACTTGAGTGCCCCTGCACAGAAAGGGCAAAGACCCATAGCAAATGTATTCCAGCAGCATGAGCGTCCTCAGTTTGCTGCTCTCCATTCTCCAGACGCAAAAATGGAAACCCCTGGATTAAAAATCCTTACGCAAAATTATTTTATTCATCGTACTTTTAAACATGGACCTGGGACTATACGTTAAAGACTTCCCTGTTTCTCTTCCGAGCAGACCTTTTCAAAGAGCGCGCAGGAGAAACGTGAAACATCTTGATGCAGGCAGGGCGTCGCTTTCTCTGCAGTCACACACTTACATTCCCCCCTGGGGCCATATCTGTAACAAACTTTCACTCCGTGATCACAAAGGCGGATAATTGTGAGAGGGTTGATGACTGTCACTATCTCACTATCCTTGCTCAAGATGTTACTTGCCAGAGAGAGAGAGAGAGAAAGAGAGAGAGAAAGAGAGATCACTATCCTTGCTAAAGATACCTGTTTTTTTTTTGCCAGAGAGAGATAGAGAGAGAGAGAAAGTTCAGGTGAGCGTGTGAGGTCACCTCTGGTTCTCCTCTCTGTCTCGTTTAGTTTCCAGTCCCAGAAGGATAGCTGTGGGTGAAGTCTTTTTTTCCCCTGTATTCCCTCATTTTGTCAGGGAAAAAAACCCACTGCTCAGTGGTGTTGATTCCCGAAGACCCGTTTTGGTAATCAGCTAAAACCTGGTCTGGAGTCTGGATGGGAGCCATGGCTGCACAGAGAGAGAGAGAGAGAGAGAGAGGGAGAGGGGGGGTAAACACAAGTAATCATGTTTCACTGCTTTGGAAACGGTCCCAGTGTGCATCCATACATCTGTCTCCACAACCCTGGGCTTTCTCATGTTGTCCTTCTCATCTCCACTGTGTTTATTTTTGCAGAGCCTTTCTTTGAGTACACCCTCACAAGCAACTTGTTCTGAGACTTGCTACACAGAAAGGCAAAACATGCCCATCCTCTGTCTTGCTGAAATATTTTTGATGTGATGATAGGACACCCAGATATTTCATAATGGATGCAGCAGACAGGAGAGTCCCTCATTACTCCAGACTGTTTCAATCTGATTCTGTCTTTTCCAAACTTGAAGTACACCTGATTGTAACTAAGATCTTTCCAGCCTCTGTCCACATATCAAGGGAACCCTCATCCATGACTCATGCCCGTTAATCTGTAATAATCACAATTAAAAGTTTGTCCCACAGGACTTGTTATCTTTACTTACTTACTTACTTTTTTTCGTTTTTTTAGCATACATTCAATCCCTCTGGGAGGCATGGCATTTCCAGGCCGCAAGGGCTGATTGAAGACTGCGATAAAGCAGTTGGAACTGGAAGAATGAAACATATTTTTTTGCTAAGGGATTTAGTTTAAGCTTTGTGAAGGAGGTAATTGACTGTAAATTCTTCACAATTCAGAAATGCCTCCCAGTGGAACAGGAACAAAATGTTACTCTCACACCCACTTTATACCCAGTGGGCCTTTCTCTTGTGTTGAAAATGTGCAGTACATTAGTGTTACACCCACCCTATATTGTGTGTGTAGGTTACATTGAGCAACTTTACAAGACTATAGTCTATAGCCATCTTTTTCATGCTTTTTCAATGAACCATAAACTATCAATGAACATGCACCTGTTGAACGGTCGTTAAGACCCTAACAGAGTACAGACGGTGGGCAATTAAGGTCACAGTTATAAAAATGTAGAGACCTTTCTACTGACTTTGAAAAACACAAGAAAGATGCACATAATCCCTGCTCATCTGTGTGAATGTGCCTTAGGCATGCTGCAAGGAGGCATTAGGACTGCCCCCTTGCAGTGGCAGACCACATGTGACAACACCTGCACAGGACCACAGGGGCACACTGATTGTCACTTTTGATTTTGAGCCCCCCTTTGTTCAGGGACACATTTTTCCATTTCTGTTACTCACATGTCTGTAAAACTTTCTTCAATTTATGTCATAGTTGTTGAATCTTCTTATGTTCATGCAAATATACTTATGTTAAGTTTGCTGAAAATAAAAGCAGTTGTAAGTGAGAGGACGTTTCTTTTTGTAGTATGTGTATATACAGGAAAAGTCAGGGGATCACCAAAGTCAGTATAATTTATCTTGGTGCCATGAATTTTGGTGCAAAATTTAATCTTAATCCATTAAATGGTTTTTGGATATTTCAGTCTGCACCAGCCATATGGAGCCATATCAGCATACTGCATAGTCATAACATAAACGCAACATTTGTTATTGCAGTGTTGCATCATTTAATGCATTCATTTTGTAATAATTAAATTGAGAAGTCGCTTTGCACATAAAATGTTTACATATCCTCACACGTAATTACACACAACCGAAACAAAATGCACTGAAAAATGCCTGCTTCATTTCAGATGCGTGATATAAGTGTGAGAGTTTGAGAAGTGCACAGCAGGTGAGCATCAAAGTTTGAGTTACAAACTGCTTCTGCTACAATCTGTTTGTCTAGTGAAATGTCTTTCTTAAGTAGAATTGACAGTTTTGAAGGTCCAGCTCAGTTTTGAATGGTTTCAGGTCACAACATTACAAGAAAAAGCAAAACACACACATTCTGGGAAAACAGATGTTCAGATGATATAGTTGTCAACTGTTATTTATCAACCATCTCCCAGGACTTCATCTTTTTTTAACAGCATCTCTGCTGACATCCAGTGGTCATATCCAATCATAACAGTGTATATACAAACTCAACAAGTCTGTTTTAACTATGTTAATCCATTCAGCTATTGCTAACTTTAGCTTAGCTCTTAATTCACTACTGTTAATGCTGCTTAAATACCATCTGTAAACATTTATATGATCTGAGATATGCTCATCCTTTGCAATCTCTCTCTTTGTCATGGACACAGACTGCATAGTGTTCAGCTTTTTCCTGAGGCAAACTTGAGTTCCCCCCCCCCTTCCTCTGACAATAGAAACCACTCACAAGCCTGCACTAACCAAAACATTTCTCATGGAGCCAGACAACAGCTTTCATCACAAGAGCCCTAAAGATATGTGCAGACACACTACTTTAAGTGTGTGTGTGCGTGCCTTTGCCTGCTGGGACAAGTGTGTAAAAGGATGTGGGTTAAACTTCCAAAGGTGAACAGACGATGTTTGATAGCTAATCCCTTGTCAGGCCCCATTAGTTGTCGCACGTCACCAACTGAACAAATCCAACAGGCGAAAGCTGTGTAGCCAAAGTACATGTACAAGTACAAGTTCTAATTTATACAATGCGCAGAAATATACATGTCCGTTTAAAGTATAATACAAGCTGCCAAGATCTAACTTACTGAAGAACATGACTTTTTTTGCTCTCTAATACTACATCTTACACAAGAACTGACTGTTGAGATTTGATTGCATGACAAACTGTCTATGGAGGTCAAGTGTTATTGTACCAGACAAAATCCGTTAGATTCACACTGGTCTTGACCTCACCGTCAGGTTCTTGCCGTATCCAATCTGATTGGCTCAGTCGCCGTGCCTGACCAGGTAAGCCCCGCCTTCAGGCTTTAGCCTCTGAGCTGAGATTTATTCCAGGATGTCCACCATAAGCTGCTGTCTGCTCTTTAATGTTTGTGGGGGGGTCAGTTAGTGTGTGTGTGTGGCCGGTGTTATCAATTGTTGTCATTATTCCTAAAAGCCTCCGTCTGTCTTTTTGAGTGGCACATAGTGGCATTTCAGGGTTTTGCAAATCAGAGATGCTGCTTCCATCACAAGTCAGGAGGATATGGAGGCTGACAGACAAGCTGCGGAGGATTTGACAACAACAGGTCAGTCAGCTGAGTAACAGTATAGACAGACGATCTGTGTTCACATCCATCATAACTCAGTCGTGCGTGTGATGGAAAGCTTGCATTTATTTACCTCGCAATTACAGCACAGTTATTGTTTTATTAAATGTGACCCCAGATCCTGCTAAGCCCCCTCCTCTCCCCCATACACACACACATACGCACAAACAAATGTGGCAGTGTACCTGGGACTCACGAGAGCATGATATGCTTTTTGTCACACACCTTAATTTATTTGAAATATACAACTGGAGTTTAATTTTGCAGTGAAGAAATATGGTCAAGCAGACATCTGTACAGCAGAGCTCCTGCTAGAAGGATTCATTGGATCCATAACTCTAGTAAATATTAGGATCACAGAGTTGTTGCTTAGTTGTTATGATTTCTGACCTCTCAAATGATTATGTTTGTACAAAAAGAAGAAGGGCTACTATGTTGCTGGTTTGCTCTCACTGGTCAAAACCAAGCAAAAACCTACTTAAAAGGGATTTGAGGGAATTACTGGACAGAGCCGTGTGTGTGCTTGTTTGTGCATTATTAGAAGGTCTTAACCTTATGATGATTCTTAAGACAAGCTGCCACCAAGGCACATAGTAAGGCTAGGTTTAGCCCACTAATTCATACAGTAGAAGGAGGAGAGGGGGGGGCATGTTTAGTTAATCTTGTTTGTTATTTCTCTCTGTGAACTCAGAAAGAACTGGTTCCTGAGGCCTGACTGAGCCCAGGAATGGCCCTCATTGAACTGAAATGGAGTTTCATTCTGGCCAAGGCTCTAGTCTTCTCACTGCTGGTCCTCCTATGTTTGCACACAGCCAAAGGTACAGCCACTTCACCGCTGTTCGTATTAGAGTTCAGCTCTTGGCCAGAATTAATGGATTTCTTTTGCATATGTCTTTGTGTTTGCATTGACACAGGCATGTCAGGGTGGGGTGGATGTTTGGATGGTCAGGATGTATTTGCAACAGTCAGAGAGAACAGCCTTCCCGGAGAAGTGGTTGCTGAACTCTTGGCTGACACCACAATGGAGGGAGTTCACTGGAGCCTGGATGGAAAGGATGCTGATTGGTTTGTCTTGGATGAAAGAAACATCCGGCTGAACACATCAGCTGACAAGCTCCTTGACCGAGAGGTAAATGAGTTGGGATACGCCCTTTTAAATACTGACCTGAGTGTTGGAGCTTTCTGATTATCAGGATGCCATGAATGCAATGCAAGGATTACAGAATTTATGTGTGTAATTCCATTTTGTTGAGTCTAGTGTCGGGCCGCAGTGGAGACTATGTCTCTAAGTTTAGAACAAACTGTCAGGGATTGAACCTCACAACCTTGTCCTTGGACCAAACACAATCTCTCTCACCGTCATCATCTTCCCAGCCAGCTATCTTACATCATGGCAGCGGTTAACGGGTCAACCAGATTAGCAGTCTCTCTCTCTCTCTGCCTCTTAATCTATCAACTATTGTCCCTCTATCTTTAAAATCATCATCAAAGAATATGACTAGGATCCATGTGTAGAACTCACCCTATTCAACACAGTCTGAGAGCATCAATTCAGTGTGTGGCCACCTATCTCTTGATAAAACTTTTTTTAATATTTGGGATTCGCATTTCTTACATTGTCATCATGAAGGGTTTAAGTTTAAGTGTTTAAATGTAAGAGAAGCTGCATGTTACAATATATATTTTTTACAGTTATATGACATCAAGTTAGGTGCACATCCACGTAAATATAGAGCAAAAACAAATGTAGGTGAAAAAAACAAACATTTGTTGAGTAGGCAAATGTGAGAGTTCACAACAAATCCAAAATAAGTTAAGGCATTTATGTTTTGAAAATAGTTTGGAAACATTTTCATTTTGTGCGTTTAATGTGGATTTGAGCATTAGAAATGAATAGTATTTCTGCATCAAAGTTTTGGCAGAAGCCTGTTCACAAAGTTACTCTTTTGGTTATCATAATTATTATTATTTTTTTTTTTCTTTATTTTTTTTTTCTTTATTTCTTTCTTTTATTAATAAAAAATGGATGGTTGGTCTCCTACAGTAATTTCAGAGTTCATCCATAGTATCTGATTCTGCATATCATCTGGAGTGTCAGGAGGATGGTACTGGAAATTCAACCATGCTTTAAGTACGTCTTTAAAAAAGGGTGAAAGTTCTTTTAATTGGTTCTGAAATATTTCTTTAATATGTAATGATTTTAATTGAAAAAATGGAAATAAATCAGAACCAAAGAAAGAAAAGGATGTATATTATCTTTTACTGGTGAGCCATTGCCTGTGATGATATATTTTAAATATTGTCTCTTAATTTTATCTGGTTTACTATTCCATAAAAATTTGAAAATTTTTTGTTCAAAGCATTTCACAAAAGAAGTGTCAGGAGTTGGGAGAGTCATTATTAAATAAACAAATTGGGGGATTACCAATGAATTAATCAATGTGACCTTTCCTTGTAATGTAAGTGAACTGCTCCTCCATGGCTGTAAAATTTTTTGTCATAGTTGTATTTGACAATATTTTAATATAATTATCTGGTATGTGAATACCTAAAATGTCTACGGAACCGTTTGTCCATCTAATTGGAGCAGAACAACTTAAATTAAAATCTGTACCATTTATCGTCCCTATTCTGAATATTTGGCACTTCTCAAAATTTGGTTTCAAACCTGATATTTTGGAAAACATATTTAGATCAGTGATCAAGGATTCCAAAGTAGATTGTTTTGGTTGTATAAAAAAGGTTGCATCATCAGCATACATTGTAAGTTTTGTCTCTATACCATTTGGCTCCAAACCCATAATATCTGTATTCTTTCTAATTTTAATTGCTAATATTTCAATACATATCAGGAATAAATACGATGACAATGGACACCCCTGGCGAACCCCTTTTGTTCGCCAGGGGTGTCCATTGTCACCGTATCATGGTTATCATAATTTAGATAATGAATCAGTCTCAAGCATGCGGCATTTGTGTTAAAATATTTTATCAAATTGAATGAAGGTCTTCTTGGTATCTTCTTCTATCTGTTGTTTTCTCTCTGTTTCTCAGGCCCAGGGTCCTGTCCTAATGGCTGAGCTGTCATGTTATGAGGAGGACACCCTTCAGGTACACTTTGTCCCATCATCCATAACTCTTCAGTGTGTCATCCCACATTAAAACCTGCAAGTGTCTTTGTTTCTTTTGTTTTTTTTTGCTGTTGTAGGGTGTTTACAGGATCATGGTCGAAATTCTCAATGAGAACGATAATTCCCCTGTGTTTTCAGAAGACACTGTCCAGTCTCTTATTATCAGTGAGGTATGACACTTTCACAAACACATGTACACAAACCTGTGCATGCTTACGCAAAACATGCAAGATTAAAGTGTTTCTCTGCCTGTCTGTCTATCCGTGTGTTTCCCAGCTGACGCCAGTGAATACTGTGGTCTTTACTGTCCAGGCCACAGACGCAGATAACGACAAGATAATTTACTCCATTGACCAGACATCAGTGAGTTCTCCCCTTTTACGCTTTACACTTTTATAAGGAATTTTAGAACATGGGCCCTATTTTAATTTATTTATTTTTGTACATATTTTGGGGTCTAAATGACTAATAGGCAGACACAAAGCAGGCTGCTATGGCTTCCGTGTAATCCTTGCACTTGTCAAAAGTATGTCCACTAAAGTTTGTGTTTTTGCCACTGACAGGCTTAGATTGTTATTAAGTATCTGACAGCATTACAGAAACGATCCCGACAGAGACTTTTTTTTATTTGTATGAATTACCCTTTTTAAAAAAGAGAAAAGAAACACATATGCACAGTTGTTAATGTGTTTTTCACTAACAAAGACCATGCCTGCAAAGATGTAGATTTAAAATGGTTTATTGCTTATGAGGGAGCTTGAGATGGGATCGTGTGGTCAGAACAGATCGAGTGCCTGGAGGGTGGGGTGAGGGACGCAGGGATGGGGGAGAGGGTCAGGAGTTGAGGGGTAGGGGTTGAGGTGTGATGGATGAAGGGTTGAGGGGAAGACAGGTGAAGGATGAGGGAGAGGAGTCGGATCCGTGCAGATGGATGTGGGGATGAAGAGAAGACCGCTGTCTGCAGGCGTGAAGGTGTGTGGGAACCGGTGGAGTCGAGACTCAAGAGAGTGGGGGAGACGTCTCTTCGTCAGCGGACGAGCGAAAACCCCCGGTTCCTGTAAGCAGACAAGGAGAGAGAAGGGAGCAGGGGAGAGAGGAAGGAAAAGAAAGGGGTTTGGGTGGGAGGGATGAGAAAGCTGTGTCAAGGGGAAGTGAACCGAAAAGGTGTGCTTAAGAACTTGGTGTGCGGAAATTGGGTGAGTTCAAGGCGTGGTCTTGGTTCCCAAATCTAGTTTATAAAACTTCATATGTTTGTTCTGCAGCCTGATGCAGAGTACTTCAAGGTTGATCTCCCCAACAGTGGAGAAGTGATCCTGTCCAAGCCTCTAGACTATGAGACCAAAACCCTGCTTACCGTCACTATCCAAGCCTCGGTAAGCTATGTACACTTAATTTACTGCATTTCAATCAAAAAGTCTAGATTTGATTCCCTGATGCTCCTGGCAATTGCTATAAGAGAAGATGAACCATACTTCAGTTCATGTATCCATCCATTTCTCCATCAAACATGCTTGATCAGTGTAATATCCTCTGAAGATGCCATGCCTTGTCATTATCTCAGGAAATGAGCACTGCTGAGCACTTCAATATCAGCACCAACATCACTATCACTGTCCTGGATGGAGATGACCAGTACCCACAGTTCCTGCCCTGCGTGCTGCTTTTCCAGGATGAGACCAGTCGTGTCTGCACCAGCCCTGTGTACACAGTCAATGTCACAGAGGGGGAAGAGGTCAGATGCTAAGCGGCCCCCCAGTCTTATACCTGATAACTTATCAATGTTACTACACTGGATTCTACACTAGAACCATTCTTAGTATTCTTTGAATATACACCAACAGATTTACTTTTACTTTACGCACACTGCATCTTTTCTGCCCTATAGGTGAGGGACTGTAAGGTTTTATCATGCATATTTGGCCTTGTGTATAATATTAATTTTGAACAACTTTGAGTTTATTTGGACCTTTGACTCAATCTAAACTATCATTGCAAGATCCAGATCAACTCACCAGGTTACTGTTTAGATGACATGGGGATATAATTTGTAGAGCAACAAATATTTGTCATGTTGCAGGACATTGTGTTGGACTTCTCTCCTGGTCCCATTCATGCAGTGGACGGAGACAGAGGACTGAGCTCTCCAGTCAGCTATGCCATTCTCTCGGGTACCACACACACTGATGCATGTTAATATTTAAAATGTGTTGTGCTTAATTGTGTAACATCTGTAACTGTGTTTGTGTTCATGCTAGGAGACGATGATCAGCGTTTCCTGATGGACAGAGAGACGGGAGAGGTGAAGCTGACTCGGGGGGTTACAGACAGACTTTCAAATCCAGCACTGAATCTACAGGTCATGGTAAGACTCACCTACTTAGTGTTAGCATTAGACTTAAAAGATATCGCTCTCACTGCTCTGTCTTTCTGTCTCTCAGGCATACCAGGACGACGACCCAAGGAAGTATTCTGTTGCTACAGTGTTGGTACGGGTTCTGGCAGTGAACCAGTTTTATCCGGGTTTGACATGGCTGAATATCAAGGCTTTGCAACTGCAGGAAAGAGTGCTGCCTCTCTTGTCAGTACCTATGGCAGCAAACCACTCATGTTACATGTGCAAGATCAAGACTTTAACAATGTATGCACTCCACCACACTCGAAAAATATTCAATGCATTTGATTTACATTGTTACTCATCGCCTCCTTTTTCCTCCACAAATTGACAGGGTTTCAACCCTATGATCCACTATACTTTCAGTCCGACATCCAATCACACAGACATCTACCAAATCACACAAGAGGGGCTTCTGATCGTCAGGACCAATCAACTCAAACCAAAACATAAACACATTCTAGAGGTGAGTCTCAGTGATTAGTTTTATATAATATAATTATATTATAATTTGTTTTGATTGAAAATAGACCACACCAGTGATTTTTCATATTTCAGGCCAGTACGCACAAATGAAGCAAACTTTACATTATGCTAGCTTACACTTGACATCCTTATATCTTTTTAAACACTATAAGTGTGAAGATAGATTTCTGATGGTGCTTAAAACCAATTGAGATAGTGAATCCATCATTTGGCCAACCAGCTCCAACAACCCGGAGATAAAGGACATGCATGACAACATAACTATAAAGTATTGTGTTTGTGTACTATAATTACACAAACACAATAACTAAACCAGTTAACAAAAGTTGCCATTAAGTTATTTTTACTTACTTATGTGAAGCCAGTTCCATTACACAACCCCTTTGTCTTTCCTCAGAGTATCATTATAAATAAAGACATAAATAAAATGGCGATGATGTGATAAAAAGTCAAAATACCTTGCAGGTAATGGCTATAGACCAGGAGTCAGGTGATGTCATCTTTGCTACTGTAGTGGTGGACGTGTTATCTGAAGGACAGTCAAGTAAGGACACACACTTATACACTTGCCTACGCTACTGATTGCTGATGAGAGTGCAGATCAAACTCTGCATGTCTGTCTGTGTACACCGCAGTCCCTCTTAGTCCACTGGGAGATGGCGGTCTGACAGGCTGTACTGTGGGCAAAGCGTTGTTCCTGAGCATGGTGTTCATGGCTGTACTTGGATGTATCCTGTCTATCCTGATGTGGCTGAAGAAGAAACACAAGGGAAAGAGGGACCCACTGCAGAGAGGCTGCGTGGCCCAGGGCAAACACCCCAATGTGGTGAGATCCTTAATATCTGTAATCTAGAATTAGATTTACAAAGATTTGTTGGTCAGTAAATTTTGAGTTTCTGAAATGTTCTCTACTGCGTATACTCCCACAGAGCTTACGATGGTTCCAACTGGTGAGTTATTCATTTACTATTAAAGCAAATATTCATCATTGTCTTATATTTCCTCTCCCTTCCCTCATCCTAATCCTACTAAAGGTAAAAAACATTCAACACAAGGTCCAATTTACTTGTTGTTTCCTAGGCTTTCGACCACATCTCATGGCCTTCATCAGTAGTTTCTCAGTTGTCATGGAGATCATTTAGTTGTTGTTACATGACTAAAGTATGCAATGTCAAATGACAACAACTAAACTATCTTCCTGACAACTGAGCAACTCCATCTGCCAATGAAGGTTTTTGCCAAAGTGACCTTCAAGCTCATACAGTATTTGAACATGTGAAGCACCTCATTAGCCTGAAAAGTAAATGACTCACATATCAATTGATTACCTCACTCCCACTCACTAATTGTTAAATTGCCTGGTTGTTAAAAGCCCTGACAATTTCTACAAATGTCTCATTGAATCAGGATGATTATCCCACTTCCTCTCTGCGAATAGTGGTTTTCTTTTTCCAAATGTTGACCTGATAACTGTGGTTGTTCTTCAGGTGAGTCACGGTAGTACCATGCCACACATGGAGGAAGTACCCTACAACAATGAAGAATATGGAAACTGCAATCCCTGCTTCCCCAACAAACCTAGCATCTGCGCCCACCAAGACCCCCCCCCTGCCGAGGACCCGTTCCACCCAGAACGACCGCTGCACCCGACACCTGCTTCACCCCCACTGAAACTCTGCACAGCCCTGTGATCTTCAATAATAATGTTTCTATACCAACCAAAAGCTCCTCTAGTTCACCCACCTTTCACCCAGCTACTGTGGCTGCTTCTCCATCCAAAGATAACCCTGGTTCACCAACTGATGTATTCCTGGACCTTACTGAGGCACTACCCAACACCAGTCCTAGCCCTGCAACCCATGATGCCACTAGCACTCCACCGTTCACCTGTCCTGATTCACAAACAACCACCAACGATGACCCTACTGACGTTGTCACCAGCCCCTCCTCTCAATCCAGTATTCCATGCAGTCATACCCGAATTGCTTCAGCAGAAATAGACAAACCCTTTCGCAAACCCCGTGTGAAGACACCCCCATATTCACCTGTACAGACCTCAACCCTCCCCAAGCAGACAAGCATTCCCCCACCCACCCCAGAGCATGCACCTTTAAAAGCCAAGCTGGTAAATATAGATACGTCTCCCCATGATACACCCCCAGTAACACCAGAGCGAACACAGATTACTCCAAGCACAGAGGCAGACCAATCTTCCACATCACTGGACCAAACAGACCAATCAGAACACCCAGACGGGGCTGCAGACGCCGGTAGTGCATCTCAGGACAGAAGGCCGTCAACGAACTCAGAAAACATGCAGGGTGGCCACAAGTATGACGATGGTTTTCTGGGAGAACAAGATGCAGACAAGAACAGTGAGGGTGAGTTAGAGTCAGACGAAGAAGAGCTGCTGAGAGTGCTGGCTCGTTGTAATCCCATTTTTATCACATTTAGTAAGTGATGTCACTACAATATTGCAGGCAATGAACGTGATAGGGCGGATGACAGAGAATGGAGGCGGTGAGGTGAAGATGGACAACACAGACAAGTGGACATGTCATCGATCAAGAAAGAAACACGACAGTCTGGTTCTCCTTGTACTGTAGGTACTGCTGAGGACAGAATACATTGCACAAGATATACAGCACATGGGCCGCATAAAAGAAGACACACATATGTCACACATATTTCACACACTGTATACTGCATATGTAAACATAAACCTTTGATAATACACAATTATAAGACATAATATTCCATTTATACTATAGAGTAAGCCTAGATGACAGGAATGAGTGACCTTGAATGCACAATGCAGTCTTTTAGATCAAAGGTATCCGTATAAATTATGAATAGATTTTTCAAGGATAAGACAGTTAGAGCAGCCTGAATGCATCAGTCATGACACAAATATGTTGTCTGCGATTGTTTACGAACAATAATGAGATTAATGTGTGTTGTCTTTGAAATGCAAATCCACATGAAATCACATTATGTAAAAAAACTGCTGGAACGCTTGACAGTTTAAATTCAGAGAAACGTCTAGCAGCAATTTTGCACCCTGAGCGATTCCCTGTAGATTTTAAATAGCTGCTGAGTACTGTACATTCGAAACTTTCACATAGTGTACTGCAGCATTCATTGTTTTGTTATGCCTACTCTACAAGCTGCCTCATTTTTTCCCCTTGAAAATGAGTAAAGTTACTACTGTCTAACCAAATCAATGAGCCAAGAGTAGTTATTAAAGTGAAATTATAAATCCCACCACTGTTATGTTATACTGCGACTGGCCTGCAAAAACCAGAGGGGTGGGTTTAGCTACATGCTTTGAGATGGTTACCTTTAGGTATAAAGTTAAAAATGGTCTGTTAGGGTTGAGATTAGAGATGGTTGGGGTTAGATAAAGTGCAGGGTGGTTAAGGTTGGGATAATAATCTGGTCTCCTTCTCTACCAGGACCCACAGAACAGTCAACATTCTAAAACAAAAAGAGTCTACAGCAATGCATGCTAGCAGCTCAGTGAGCAGCTTTGCAGCTTTTGCAGTTTGTGCGTCTTCTGTGTTAGCATTAGCTACATTTGAGTCACATGAACTAAGCATCCGTTTCTGGAAGATGAATACCAGGTGATGACGAAAAAGGTTATTTAGCAAGAGACAAGATTCTTCTAACCACCTGGATGATGGTTTGTACCTGTTCATTTGGGGAACTACCTGGATAAGTGTTTCTTATCCAGATTCTATCTTTGTTTCAATTAAGAAACAGAGTTGCAAATTGGGAAACGGGATAAAAATATTTTTTTCAAGCAGCAGACAGATCCAGATGGTCAGAAAAATCTTTGTGGATTCTGGAAATACCTTCAGAACAACAATGATTCTTGTTAAACAAGACAACCGGATGCTTAGCTCTTTGACTCAGATGTAATGCCACTACATGGGTGGCTCAAACTGGAGCTAGGCACGGTGATGCTTTCAGCTAAATGCTAACATGCTCACAATGCAACATGCTGATGTTTGCCAGGCACAATCTTTACCATGTTCTCCATGTTAGTTTAGCGTGTCAGCATGGTAACATAACATTAGTTAATTAACTGTAAACACAAAGTACAACTGAGGCATGTCATGATGGGAATGTCATTAATTTGTCTAGATGAGAAGTTCACCAGCATGAATACAGTTCATCCTGAAAGCTGGTGATAGAGCACAAAGAGGTAACAAAGAAGAGAAAGCTGCATTCAGTGATTTGACAACTATACAGTGTTTGGTGCACATGACAACAAGTAAATGTGCTTGTTCAATTAGCTGTGATCTTATTACAGTAGGTCTGTTAGGATTAACACATCAGATATTCACGTGCTTCCTCTAACACCTTTGCACACATACTGTACATACAAAATAAACACAGAGTAATGTGTCTGTAAAACCCTTGAGGCTAAGATTCTTGATGAATTAATATTAAGCCACTGAAATAGAGATGGAGAGGCTTATGTTCAGATGATCAAATGTTTCTATTTACAGATCAGTTTTGGTGGTGAATAAGGATGAGTTAGGTCCTATGCCTATCCTTGGCCTGCTTCACTGAAGTCCATCCATCCTAAAAGGCTGGTTGAAAGGGAAGAGCTGCTATAAAAAGCACTCATGTTCACCGAACCTAATTTGGGTAACTTACAAAATGACATTACATATGTCTGACATATATGTTCAGATTTAAATGGGCAAGCTTCAGTTATTTCTTCATGTGTATAAGATAGCCGTGACATACCTGGGAAATTAAATATTTATTCAATTGTGATGTTTTGAATGTCTTTAGATTCAGATTGCCAGTTTGATTTATTGTGGGGAGACTAGGGGGAAAGGTTTCTCCTGAAAGAGAATGTGAGAGGAAGAAAGTTTGAAACAACAGTCAGTGGGGTCAACAGCCTGAAGGAAACAGGGCATTTCCTAAAAAGGAAAAAAACTGGGAAAAACAGTGATAGATAAAGCTATTCTAATGCAACACAAGCAGATTTCAACTTCCTCTTAGCACTGCATTATATCCTTTTAAGAAGTAGTTATTAGAAAGAAGAGTTATTTTTGTTTTTTAAAGGTGACAACAGAAAAAAAAAATTATGTTGTGCCTTTCCGATAAACTACTTCTGAGAAGAACATCTTGTCACTTTAACAGCAGCTGTTGTGTGAAGGCCACCAGACAAGTAGTACTTAAGAGTCAAAAAACACAGCAGACTAAAAGCTCCAATTTAATGTTTTTATTGAGGCATTTTTCTCAATCACAAAAACTGGACCCGATTGTTAAGACGCTCAGTTTGCAGACCAACTACTTATTTACAGTAAAGTCAATAGTGAAAAGGTGGTTACTGCAGTGAGCCTGTAAAAAAACAATATAATTTACATTATAGTATACCATAAAATGATGATCAACAGTGGTTATAAATGGTGGTAGTGATAATATAAACACAAGTTACTGTTTGTAGGAGGGAAAAAGCATTTGTTTTCTTCCCAACTGCTTTAAAAAAAACAAACAAACAAAAAAAAACAACAGGGACAAAGATTTGAGCTGGGTACACAGACAAGTTAGTTAAGCTGAATCAAACAAAACATAAAATAAAAAAGGGGAAGTCAGCCATCAAGAAAACATGTTATATATGTACACACACGCACAGTTTCACACGCACATACACACTATTGAGGTGATGAGAATGAAGACAGGAGGCAGCTTTGAGGACAAAGCATCCATCAGTCCCTAAAATTCATCTTGATTCCTTCAACCAACACGTAGCACAACCTGCCCTTATGTATATAGGACACACAGATTGTGTTCAAATGGATGCTTTTGGGATCAGTATAGCAGACACAGTGATACTGTATTGCACTAGTCCAAATAATCCTTATTGTCACTGGAATTTAATATTTACTCCTCGTTCCAAACATCCTATACTCCAGCATTAACACATGATGATCAATAAAGACATGAAACTATGAGTTAATCAGAAACTAGCAGTTTCACTTTGGGCCAGATCTGACAGGAGTAGAACAAATTCTAATGGGTAGAAATCAGCTTTACTCTTCACAGTCCAGTGCATTGCAAAAAGAAATTGTACGCTAAACTATTCAGTATACTGCATGCCTAAACTTGTTCTATCAGGGTTTTGTAACAAAACATGGCTATTTCATAAATTCAACCTTTCAAAGAAGATAAAAAAAAAAAAAGTTTTAAACTAACACTGTTTGTCCATCGCCTGGCCTGAAAAAGGCGAGTGTAGTGTGTGGAAGCAGAGCAAAGGCTGGCGACATATCCCAATGTTACACACAACTGAGCATGAGGACACACTGGCCCAGCACGTACATATTACTTAGAATGGCAGTGTGTGCGCAATGGGACACATTCAAGAAATCAAATAAATTATTGTCCGTGGCGTTGGATTAGGCGAGCTCATCTTGTTTGAAAAACTCCATCCACTGTCGGAGCAGTAAGGTAGTACACAAGATGAACACAGAGTCTTTGGAAGCAGGTGGATGTTAGAACTCGTCGTGTCGAGTCAGAGCCTCTCCAAAGTCGGTCGCCTGGCTGCCCACGAACAGGTCGTACTTGTCCACGATTTCTGCCTTGGTCAGACGGCCATCCTGATGGAGGGAGAAAAACAAAACATGATGTTGTTTTTACTGTTACTGTATAAGCAGGTACTTTGTGTTGTTAGTATGTGTTCCCAAAGGTATATGGTATGTCTTGTACAATTTGCACTTCTGTTGCTGGGACACTAAAACTAAGATATCTTTTCTCATCTTAATTACATAATGAAAACATCCCAAAGGGTTCCAACACCAACAAGGCTGAGAGCCTTGTATCTCTTGCGTTTATTATATATATTTGTTAGAGGTGTAATTAAGTCAGACACGAATTTAATAAACATTTTTCAAAATCTAGACTTATATAATTATCTGTGCTCCTTTGTTTCATTGAGCCTTATATTGCTGTTGCAAATCTGCCACACATCACAAATTTTCCTCAGTACAGTGCAGTACAATAACTCTCAGACTTGTGCAAGTACCGTATATGCACACTTTCACACACTCAGTTCTACTTCCCCTCCATATTCAGTGAATGAGACAGGAAGTGAAATACATAACAACAATGAATTTCTGTTGAAATCTCAAATCATCAACGTTTTACAGTACGTACTTTGTCGGCATCTGACTCATAGACCAGATGCTTGGCCTCGGCTTCAGCATGGTCGTAGTCACTGGGCAGGATCCAGTCTCTGGTCTCCTCCTTGTCCATCTTCCCGTCTTTGTTTTTGTCTCTGAATTCAGTAAACTGTTCCCTCTCTGTCTTCACCCACTCGGGTTCTGTGGAGTCTCCCTCCTGGTTGTACATGTCACCTAAAGCAAAGAAAGACAGGAACAGGCTGAGTGAGGGAGATGATTATTTTGCAATACTTCTTTGTACAAGTACTTGTGGCGGCCTAACACACTGCCAATCAGGCTCATTTCATAACAGTTCCTCAAACATTTACCATTACCCACTGTTTCTTGCACTTTTCAACTTTGTTTTTTCTATCGTTCTTGGTTTGTGACCTATATTAACCAAATATTTTGTGGTACAAACTGATGATGTTTAAATAACATGGGCTGAGAACTCACCGATGTACTCGTCTAAATCAATTAAACCATCTCCATTCTTGTCAATGTCTTCCATAGTTTCCTATAGCAAGAAAAGAGAGCACAAGGACGTGAGAAGGGATGTAAAGTGTTATTGCCATATTTAACACCTGTGTGAGTGTGTGGGTTTGTCACTTACTAGCACCACAATGTCTTTCATGTGGTCGTACTCCTCGGGGTGAAGGAAGGCTGTGAACTCTTCCTTGTTGGCTTTCATGTCACCGTCTTGGTCTGCCATTTTGAATCTCCTCTCATCACGAGCCATCATCTGCCTGTAGCTGAAACCATCATCAGGGTCGGGGTCATCTGCAAGTCAGAGGTCACAACTTTGTATGGTGTGTGCATGTAAATTTGTATCCATTGTCCATGGAGGTAATGTTTCAGGGATACATCACATGTCTGTAGTGTTACCAAGAATGTATCCATATGTGGCGTTCTTGTACTCATCCCAGGACACCACCTCATCCCCATTGAGGTCATGACTCTTCCACTGTCGATCCACGTCATCGTAGATCCATCTTTTCTGAGCGTGCTTGATCCACTTCTTCATCTCCTCAACAGTCACGTAGCCATCCTTATTTCATCTATACGTTCAACCAACATGCTGTAGAGAAATATGGCAAACATTCAGTTTGTTCCCTCATATTATATTGATGTGTTACCTCAGATGCTCTGCCTGAGGTCAAACTAGGTCACCATTACCACACTAACACGAAAGAGTTGCTATTGACTTCATATATCACTAATTCAAGAACAGATTCACACAATCTCCCTGACATGTATTCTCACCCGAGCCTCTCCTTGCTCTCCTCTGGGGTGAGCTGGTCAAAGGTCTTGGCCTCCTCTTGTCCCAGGAAGGCTTCATGGTCATAGTCAAAGCCCTCTGCATCATCGTGCTCTCGGTTGCTGAGGGGTTCATCGTGGTGAACACGGTCTTTCTTCTCTGTGGGTTTGCTGGTGGCGTAAACCACACAGAGGGCAAAGCACATTACAAGTGGCCGCAGCTCCATCCTGGGTATGTACGAACACTGTCTGGATGAAGGGAAAAAAGAAGATACCAAAAAGCTAAGATTGTTGCTCAAACAGTGCATTCTGGGAAAAAACATTTGTACTGCATACATATCTAAGTTTACAGTGTACTTTTGTTTCAGTTCTATTCACAACTTTTAACTTAGGGCTACTCATCTGTGCCCATGCCAGTTTAGTGGCAAGTGTATGACTCACAGTGCAAGCACATACTCAGACCATGAGAGGTGAATTACTAGGCTAATCTGTTCCAGTTGACGCAATCCCTTGTTTGTTGCACTTCTGGTACCTTGAAGAAGTTGAAATCACATATGTTGTAGTACCACCACCTCAACAATTATATAAATTATTTAACAGACACCTCCGAATTTTTAATCTATTATACTAGATTTAAATTATAAACTACATTCAGTGTATTTATTAGGTACACCTAGCTAAAATCTAATACAACATCCCTGCAATTAGATTTTACAGTCATAAAAGTTATAAGCCTAATGTAAGGTTATGTAAAGCAGAGGTGTTGAGTCAAACTTTTGATCATTTTGGAGACTGGTACTGTGGAATTGTATTGCATTTTACTGAGATGTGTGTCTACTATTTGGTCTTCTCTTAGTGGAAAAAATGGGGTGTATAAATATAAAGTCAGCAACAGTCTAAAACAGTTTAAAACTTAACTTTCAAACTTGTGATTTTATATGATTTATTGTATAGCTGTTTAATTAGACTGCACTAATTCTTTTAAACAACTCAGGGCAGAAACAATGACAAATCCAATTTACATGTTCTGAAGATCTTCTTAAATAGAAAATATACCATAAATAAATAAATAAATAAATAAATAAAATAACCTTCCAGCCACCAGCATTTATATTCACAGAACGTAACATTATTGCTATTATAATAGCAGGAAATACAATGCCGAAAAAAGTTGATTGTGGACTATTTTATTATCAACTTACTAACGTTCACCGCTAGTGACTGCTTTAGTGCGACACACCAGAGTCTGTGGGCTCACTTTTGCATGTCTCAACACATTAAATCTTGCCATCGTCTTTGTATTACGAGTCAGCAGCAACCATTTGTGGCCGTTATTTCTAATTAGTTACCATCCAAACCCAAGGTGAATTAGGGAGTAACATTAGGCTGGCTAACCTAGCGTAACGTTAGTTTTACCTACTAGCCTGCAATTTGACTCGCCCAATAAAGATAAATAAGCAACCATATAATCGCCCATGCTGCATCAACAACTATTTGAGAAACCACACTTGAGTTGGTTTTTTTTTAATAATTTAAAGCACAATTTATCAACAGAACTCACCGGTGTCTTCAGGGAAGTTCTTCGTTGCAATAAGATCCTCCCCTCGGAAACACACCCATGCACTTCCTGTGCTAAAATGCCAACCGGCCAATCACAATCTGAGAAGGCGAGTGCGATGTCGCTTGCTCATTGGTCCACTCCAAGAGGACATCAGTGATTGGATTGGTCGAGAACCGCCACGTCCTCAAAGTCAACAAAACCTCGTTCATTCATAAAACTGACTCCACAGTGTCTGGGACAGGTAAGCTACACAAAGGAAGCCCCAAACCAGTACATTATTCAAATGACAAAAACTGCAGTAGAAATGCAATTTATTTAATTAATTTACAGTTCTTAAAAAACATTACATAAAAAACACTGTCCTATGTAACCAAATGCAAAATAAACACATTAATTAGTAATTCCACAAAAACAAAATAACAAAAAGCACAATAAGACCAACACTCATGGTAACTTTTCAGTGAGCCCAATTAATTTATGAACAAATAAAAAACCTTAATTTCTTTTGGCTTTAACACAATTTAAATCAATTGCTTTAGTAGTGCTGATAAAACCACTTTATCACAAATCAGAAAAATAGAGTCTTCATATTTTAAGTTATATACTCTTTTCCCTTCTTTAAATGTATAAATGGCTCATTCTCCAACAAGCACATCTCTACTATAACATGCAACTCAAGCAGATTTCTGTCCCTCTGCTGGTTAAATAGTCATCATGAAATGTGGAAAATCGATGAGATCAGAGAAACACAATGACAGGACCTGCTGCTAAGCTGAGGGCTTCCACCACATTTCTGTATCTTCCCTTCCCAGGAACCGTCCTATGTGGACCTGAGAGGAATGGATTTACTTGGCAATTTGTAAAAGCTTGCTTTTCTTTTAGGTGTCATTTAGCCACATTTATGTTGGGTGTCAAATACTAAATTCACAGATTTTTGATGCTCATTGAAGAAGAGGCATATGTTTCTGGCAAAGGATTGTGACACGTTGTGCAAGACTTATGGTAATACTGACACTTCTTATTATGGCTGAACTGTATAAATTCTACTGTCTTTGAATGGTCTGTCCCTCACATCCTCACAAATGCTGGTGTCTCTCTAGACTTTTATAGGGAGGTCATAATATTGCAGTGCCTCCATCTTCCAAATCTGTGTTGTCCATATCTTCTTCTGTCTCTCCCTGTTGGTTGGCATTTCCCTCTTGACTGGACTGTTCCCCACTATCTTCACCTCCTGCTGGGACAACACAAAAAAGCATTTTCAGGTTTTTAACAATGTTGTGCAAAGTTGATTCTTTGTCAAGCTGCATAATATAAAAAAGGAGTTGGTTGAAGCTACTCTTAAAAAGCAACACGGTATAAAATAAATGTGTGTTATGTATGAAACAAGTTATATTAACTGTATTAGAGAAGAAAAAGTTAACTACAGATTTTACACCATGGTGAGTTTAGCTGTTCTTGCTAACCTGTGCTGGTTTCACCCTCTTTCTTCTCAGTCAGGAAGATTCGTTGCATCATTAGTTTCTTCACTGTGTGGCACATGTACTTGAGCTCTGGACCACTGTCTGATTTTCCTGCAGACATATGTCAAAATGGACAATAAGTGAAAGAAAGCATGAAAGAAAGTATAAAAATGAAACACAACAATAAACATTGATAATATATGGAGAACCGTACCTTTCTGTGGTCCCTCCTTGAACAGCACACAAGTCCCCAAAGCGTCTTTGAAGAGGGAAGGATAGCATGTAAAATGTCTGTTTACGGTTTCTTTTTTTTTTTTTATATGATAACATCTATCATAAGGGTGTTCATGGAGGCTCTTTAGTGCTGGTACAAATAGTCAGCAACACTATCACTAACTGTGCTTATTAAAATATGCCTCTTTTTCCATAACTTCTATTGAAAAACAAGATATTAATAATGCTGTTTGTGCTATGATTACATACTTTTAAAAAAGGTGCAGTTTGGGCCATTTCTCATTACTGGAACCACAAAAGTCAGTCTGTTTCAGGTCAAAATGACTCTTGCAGGTGGTGTAAAGTGACACGTTTCCAACTTAAGTACTTGCTTTAAGAAGAGGCAAAGGGGGAGAGTGCTGTTTATATTATTCTTACCTTCATATTCCCCTGCAAACACATATTGTCCAACCTGCATCATGGGCTTCTCGCTGTCAATATCCTGGAACACATGGACAAAACTGATTTTGTGAATGGTGCATTCCTGCATGGTGGCCACTGGCCAGGCTTCTTCTCTTTCTTTACCACAAAGCATGAATATCCGACACTTACCAGTATCTTGCATGTGCCCCGACATTTGGAAAGAAAGTCATTGTTGATTATACCAGAGAGCTCCACCACAACAAGCTGCTCCTAACACGTTAAAAAACAAAACGAGTAAAATGTATATAACGTTACAGTTATAGAAAAGACGACCGCAGCAGTCAAAAGCATATAAATATGATGCGACCATTTACACAACACAATATTTTGGTCAGAAAATTAATTATCCCAGGGATCCCCACACAAATTCACGTTAAGGAGCCAATATTAATACAAGCTAGAGCCCAAACCAATATTTGGTGGGAAGTTAACCCCCGAAAGTACAACTTTAAAGGTTAGAATTAACACAATAATGAATGTTGCAGTCATATAACTTCAGTCTCTCTAGGCTGAGTAAACTGACATGTTAGCCACATGAAGCTAATGTTGATATAACTGTGCTGTAATTAAACGCTAACGTTACGCTGATGGTATTTCGTACCTCCTCTTCCCATTCGTCGTCCATGTTGAAAGGCCAGGAAGAGGACTGATAGGAATTAACGTAAAATACAGTTCCTGTAGTGTTATCTAATTAAATATCCCATTCTTTTCTACAAAATATTTTTACAACTTCCGCGATTGTACGGTGCCCGAGAAGCCTTCTTTTTGCTGCTTGGCAGGTTTTCAGTTACGAGTCCCGACCATCGAGGGGCGCTGTTGCTCAGGCATGCTTTGTGTCTAAGCCGTTTAATTTGAACTGGATATAGGGTGAATAACAATTGTCTATCTATCCATCTCTCTCTTCATTCTACTTATGGTCGAGTATGATTGGATCTAAATATTGGCTACCTGTAGGCACACTCATCTACATTAAAGTTATTAATGTTCTCCTGTAGGAGGCCATCGCTGAGGTGATGAGACGAGATGAGATGAAATGAGACAATACACTTTATTGATCCCCAAGGAGAAATTCATCTGTCAAAGGCAGGGAAACACAAACGAAAACAACCACACACATCAAACATATCCAAAACAAAAAAGAAGCAGAGGGCCAGATATGAAACATGACTGAATTTTAATCAAAATGCACAAACAAATATTAAGCACAAAACAAAATCATCTGTGAGGGCCTGAGGGAGAAGATGAGTTTTTTTAGTTTTGCTTTGCCGGGACTGCAGCTATGATCATACAGAAATGAATTTGGAGGACTCAGTAACATGGCATGGAGGTGGGCCAGTGCCTGAGCAAACCTATTCCTGACAGACACACATCAAAGGCAAAAATCCAATTCAAAGTCATTACAAAATAATTTCTATCCTTAATGTAGTAAGTAAAATGTAAAATAATTAAAAAGTGTAAATATTTATTTTATTCTATCTGTGATTTGCAATTCATCACAGAGGTTGTATGATTTTTATTAAGGGACGTTGGCATAGATCTATTTTAAATCAAACAAATATTTCAGTTTCTGCAGAACAAAGTTCAAAGCCAGGGGATCCTTCACCAAGATAACCACAAAGCCTCTTGGATGAGTGCTGAAATGATTTAAACCCATTTATCTTTCCGTGCTCTCCAAATAAAATAAAAAAAACATATATATATTTGCCTCACAATAGGCCTACTTACTTACTGGACTTACTGGACTTAATGTATATTGTTCTGTTAAGATAGTATATATATATATATATATATATATATATATACCCAAACATTTGATACATTTTAAATATAACATATTTTTAGTCCTGATTAATAGTGGTACTTATTGATCCATCTAGGAAATTACTCTTTTTGTTCGCTACCCTCTACACAGGGGTCAGAGATCAGGGTCTCTGGAGCTGATTGGGATTCATCATCTCACTCAGGATGTCTGTAATGAGGATGATTCTTCTCACCGAGTCCTCCCCTTGGAGGACCATCCTACTGGCCCGTTATAAAAAACAGTTTTTAATAAATAGCAGATATAATAAATAGTATTAAATATTTTATGGTAGAAATGTATTGCAAATCTACTATCAACTATTATCACTAGTGCCTTTTACGCATGTACGTCAGTAAATGTTCTGACAAATTGACACTTTAGCATTTAGCTTGAGAAGGAGCCATGAATCTTCTTCCAGAGACAGCAAGTTTAAGAGACAGAATTGCAGTAAAACTGAAACTGTTTAACTCGTGGTATGACAAAGTCAATGAAATAATATCTTATATATTGAATATCTTTATAGTACTGGGCCTTCAAATTGTTACATTGTCTCCTAATAAATTTGATGGTAACAGTAAATAGCAGTAAAAACATACAGGTTTCCTGCGCTCACGATTTATATTAATTGGCTTTGGAAAAAAATGACAGGTCTATTGTCAGGAGATGGGAAATGAAAATATTAATTAACTCATATTTTTACTATATATACACACACATATATATATATATAATATATATATATATATATATATATATATATATATATATATATTTGCATTAATGGGACTATAGGATAAGGTTGAGAAATATTGTTTCTCCCTCCATGTCCATCCAGGTGCCACAGAGCCAGGCAGCACAACAGTTTAGTGGAGTTGCTCAGAGGCCAACAGTACTTGCAGGCTGTAAATACCTGTATAAATGTAAAGCAGGTTGGTGCTGAATGAGCCTCGCCCTTAGAGGGAAAAAAATAACATTTTGAATCAGAATCAGGCAAACCAAATTAAAGGGGGTGCAAATCCCCCATGTACCTCCCCCACACCCCCCATTTCTGGCCTATCATCTATCTCTGGACTATGGTGGGGTTGTCATGTCGACCAACCCACAAGTTACTATGACAACGGCTCAAGGGGAAGCACTTGCTGGGGAGGTTATTGCCTCCTTGGGGATGTAAGAAGGACATGGGGAATGTAAGCAGAGACAAAGATATAGAGACTCCACCAAAAAGGCTTAAATGAAAGGAGAGGTCAAGTTGGAGTGTGTTTGTGAGCGTGTGTATGGTTTACTGTAAATGCCATGTTTACATTCACAATCAATTGAAGTGGACACAGTGTGCAAATCAGAGATGCCCCTTTGACACTTTGGATGCAGAGGACAAAGTTTTCTCCCTCCAGGACGAGGCCCGAGCCTCTCCTGTACATGATGTATTACACTTCCCTCATACTGCCATACCCTGGGGCAGAAAGGGGCAAGGGCAAGGGAGGGAGTGACATTAAGGACCCTCCAAGGTGTCAGATGGGTCCCCAGCTTCCCCCACATTTTATCATATAAATGTCATAAAGACAAGTTTGGAGTTGGGGAGCTTTTGGCTCTCCTTCTGCCTGGGGGGTATCACAGTGGTTAATTGCCCCATTAGCACTGACAGGGTAAATTGGTGCAAGGGCTAACTATATATTAGAGTGAAAACAACAACCCCTGGCATAAACCCATGGGGTAGAAAGCGTAGTGCGTTTTACAGTGCGGTCTGTGCATGTTTGAGTGTGTATGCAAGACAGTGAGTGTGTGCGTGTGTGTGAGCAAAATGTAAATATACTCACTTTAATATTGGTCAAATATTAGAATTCTATATTTATCACTACGGAAATGAACTCGCAGTCAGGGAGAGTGTCATATCTGTGCTGAACTTTCTCTAGGCATACATTTAAAAGGAGATTTATTCTATTTTATTCTATTCTGTAAAAATGTGACTTGATATGAGGACTGCATTTGGGAGGGTTGTGTCAGTCTTTTCATGGTTTTAAATGGAGACAGTAAAAATAGAATGCAATGCAAATGGAAATTTACATCAATAACCAGCGACACAAATAATATGAAGTATGATTTGAAAGCATTTTATTGTAACCTCACAGAAATATATCGTAAAAGATCATTTGTTTATGATGAATTTAAAATAGGCTGCATAATTGGTTTAAAATCAAGGTAAAATTATCAGAGCCAAATCTTTTTTTAATGTTTTTTCCACACATCACGTCTGTTTACAGCTTATTCTTTTACGTATATAAAAGAGGCACATATTTGGTATTACATAAATACACTACATTTAAAAAAAACTATGCAGATGTAAGGATAAATAAAACATTTTCAAACAGCAGATCCCCATATTGCTTTAGCTTAAATTTTTCTATAAACACAGGGACAAACCTAGCAGATACATTCTTATCTTCTGTCACACACACACACACACACACACACACACACACACACACAATGCAGTGACACACAACCTGCAATATTGACTAACGTTAAAATTATATCACCATTCAGTGTCATTGTCTTTTTCTCATAAAATGTCACCGTTCTAACTGCAGCCATAGCACCAACAGAAAATATCCATGCAGGCATAAAGACAACAGTCACTGATTTATGTTGTCTGTGAAAACCTGCAATCTTTGCTTGGTGGCATGTGCCAGACAGACAATCACTTTAAACGTTTTAAAAACATAAAATAATTATTAGATGTTCCACAAAGGTAGACACAAATTATTTGGCACTTAATTAATGTATCTATGCATCGATTCTTTACATAGTTATAGTTGCACAAATGCAAGAAAATGATCAAACCAAACCAAGACAAACCAAAATCAAAATGTCAGTGCATTCACAACCAACATAACGATATACCATTAATATTCATGTACTATTACGATATGGCCTTGTGGTGCGGTTCTTTCACGCAACAGTGAACTGATAGTAACCTTGCTGTAGTTAATGCTGTAGCCTTTTTTTTTTTTTTTTTTTTTTACCTCCTGTGGTAATACTATAATTTCTTTCTATAGGGACTTTTCTCTGTGACATTAGCCTTTCAAAGGCCACCCTTTCTAAATTTGTATTTATAGCCTAAAGTTCTTAAATAAGGACAAGGTCAACTTTGACATTCACAAACAAATATGTAAAACGATACTATTTTATCTTACAAATAAAGGCAGTTTTCACCATCTAAAATATGGACAGATTGTACATATCGACAGATTGTACATCTAGGGTGAAATTCACAATAGTATTATCATAACAATAGACCCGAGTGGCGAGGATGGGGCGGCAGGAGCCGGAAAAAAAAGACTAAAGGTCTTCTGTGATGACAAACTTGGTGATGGACACATCAATTTAGGCCTAAATATATTTTTGTTTTCCAAAACTGAGACATTTACCCCAAAGCCAATGCCCGAAACCCAGAACTGCAGCCTCAGTCCAAAAGAAATCAAGGGTGCAATGTCTCATTTCATAGCCTTTATGTCTTTTTGTTTTAAGCAGTCATTTTTAGGTCTCTTTGTTAGACGTGAATATTTGTTTGTCAAAAACCTTGCGATTTTATCCTACAACTTTTCCAAAACAAGTGGGCTACCCCACAGAAACATAAATATTTCATCAAAATAATATAACTTAAGTATAGGACACAACGCCTACATCTGCGCCTAACCCGTGCTATATCTCAAACAAAATGTCAATATGATTCTCCTAAAAATAAACCTCCAGGGCCTTGTAATGTTTTTGTAGTCCTCAATAGTGAATAACGGTGATAGTGTCGCATTTTGTGGCATCATCATATTCCTCCAAAAAGCCTATTGGGATTAAATGTGTCTGCTTTTTTGTCAATATTGACTGTATTTTGACATTATTGTAATTCGTGGTATTTTATTATTATCTTTTTGGTGTAACCAGAGATTTTTCTGCGATATTCTTTTCTCTTTA